GAATCGCGTTTATTCCCGATTTTGCGAATAACCGCGTTTGAATGAGGTTTTACCTGCAGCCGCGTCTAAACGCTTCGTTTGTTTCACTGGAGACGCATTTAAACGCGTTCTCTTTGTGCGTTTCGCACGCAAATGAAACGCGTTTCAGACGCGTTTCGAGGCAAAAAATATTTACATGGGAAGTCCCCAGCAAAAATTATTCAAATTAGTTTTCCCAGCTACAATTGCTGTAATCTTTCGATCCTTCTCTTTTCGTTTCGTTCGTTCATTTTTTTCTTTCCTCTTCTGCACATGCATATATGTTCATATATAGAATCGCTCGCGTATGATGTGTTTATTTCATCAGAAGAAAAGAAGTTCCATCAACGTGTTTGTTTTCTACAGAAGAGTAATTATCTTAAAAAGCACTACTCAAAATAAATTCAATTGAAAACAAAAAGGAAAAGAAAATTAATGCACATTGGATCATATGAAAATAGATGAAACCTTTTCGCCTCTATTGAGTTAGATATAAAAACACCTGAAGATTTTTATTGATCTTGAATACTTCGATAGTTAATATCCTTTTTGTTTTTATTTCTTGCTATTGATTACTATTATCATCTTCAATTCGATGAAGAGTCTAACAAACGAGCAAGATACATGAAAACAACATGTGCTTTTTTTTCTCTTTGCTCATATACAACTTAGATTCAATGTTCATAATCATGTTTAGAGCGTATCTGATATATATATTTCAAATGAGTTTTCATCTTATTATCTTGTCTTTGATTCATCTATTAGTTTATTTTAATTATGGTGAATTAATACATTTAAATGTAAAAGAGAAATACAGGAAACGATTTAGTAGATACAAGTCTTTATCAAAAAGTATATTGTTTATTTATTAATCAAAACGATATTTAATATTGTTCGTTGTTGTTTCATCGTGTACGATTGATACAAATGTAGGATTAATTATGAAATACAAAACGAAAGACGACGTTAAAATAGGCACTGATAAACATTTTGTTCTCTGGCTCATAGACATATCCTGCAACATGATTCAAAATACTATTTGTTTTATTTAGCAAAAACTTACTGGAATAAAATGTTTTTCTATTGTCTTCTGGTGAATAATAATGATGAGACGCGTATTCAGTTGGTGGCCAGGTCTTTTTTATAAGCTTTAAAGCTAAGCTACTATAATAAAGAGAAAGACAATATTAAAATCTATGAAACTCTTTTCGTTTTTTCCTTTCAACAGTTGTTATAATAGATATTGAGTTCGACGAATGTATCCTTTCCCTCAAGAAACATGCAACATGATAAACAAACTCAAATTTAATTAGACATTTCATTGCAGTCTAAGTTAAATTAAGTAGTTATTCATGCTAATGAAACAAAAGGGTCAGGATCAGTTGATTTTTGTTCGCACGTACCATCGGCAAGCATCAACCTGAATCTTGACAAATGATAAAGACAAAACCTAAGACATGCATAACGTGAAAAAGAGCATCAGCAAATAATAAGAACTATTTCTTTTCGATTCTATTATAAAAATATGTTTGTAATGAACGATTACAAAATACACGTGTACAACGAGAAAAAAAGATAGAAGCCATTAGCAATAGAATAGAATAGAAAACAAAACAAAGAAATCACATAAGAAAAAAAGGTTTTCTAATCTTTTTTGTTTTATTTGTTTTGTAACATTGGACTCGATGAAATCGTGTTATATGGAAAAATATCTGTTTATTTATAATGTCGATGAGCAGAGTTTAAAACGAGTTGATTCGAACGATAAAAATAACATTACATCAGTTAAGATAACATGTATGAGTAGTTTCTTTTAGTAGTCGAAAAAACAAGAAATGTGCCGCAGACGTTCGTTGTGATTGATTTTCAGTGTCGAAATAATGGCAGACTTTGTGTACTAATTTGAATTCGAGTCGATGGGCCTTCTTGATGTAATCGCCAACGATGAAGCTCGTGTTTAAATGAAGTAATTCAATTAAGTCAGGACAGACGACCCATCGCTTTTGTATACCTATATTTTCTAATGCTTGTACAACTGCAGTATTCGATAACGATATTTTTCCAACGCGTTTTTCACGTTTAGCTCGATCAGATGTTGCTTTGAAAATGACTTGTTGAATATGAGCAGCTATTCCACGAAGCCAACGAGTTTTTGATGGACCTCTCGTTTTGACTGTGATCAATATGTCGTGTGTATATTGTCCGAGATGTAATCGTTTGAAGAATCCATCACCTGTTTTAGGTCGATTTATTCGTAAGTCATATGATTTCATATGAAACGTTATTCGAGTATTATTAATAATTGAGATAAAAATTAATTGAAGATATTAAATTGAAAGTTGTGTTATTTGTAGACTATGTACAAATGACAATAATTTAAAAGAAATATAATGGTCATTATCGATTTGATCGTTTTCAATATGAGAATGAAAACGATATATCATTAGAGAAAAAGCGTCGACATTTTCTTGACGACATAAGAGAATTCATTGGTTATTAGAAATAAAGATTTCTAGAATTTAATCTTTTATTTTCTTGAGTTGTTTTCATGTAAAATACGATGTTTTACCATGAAACTCACGAAAATTATCGTTTGCATTCGACTATTAGTCTATTTTCTCTTGAAGCAAGATTTGAATTTTAAATGTAGAAATGGAATGAGATATTTCTATGAGTTTCGAAATTATTCGCTATATCTAAGATTTATTTGCTTTTCAATATCCTAATTTCAATGATTTATTTTTACTATTTGTAATCAAACGTTTCAAAGCTAACGAACAAATAAGAGTAAACAATTTTCAATGTCTAACGGTAAGTCAATCACAAAGCTAGACGGTTATATTAACGCATGTGCTAGACATCTTTGTTTTTATCTGAAAGAACCAAATCGTTTGGAGCGTTACTGTGACGATGACGATAGATAGTTTTGTCGACGAGAGAGAGTGTCGATCAACGCATGCATATCACATGTGCATGTGTCTCTCCACCCTTCTCTTTTCGCTGTCTCTTTATAGCTTAACGTTTTTCACAAATGTTCATTGACTGTCTGTAACATTATCGACTGGTTTAATTGATCTTTCATTATAATCTCGATTCGTTTTGAACAAACGTTTATCGTTCTCATCAATTAATTGTTATTCAAGATTTTATTTACAGCTTGTCAGGTATAATCTTATGTTGCTGAATATTACCTTTCATGTTTCGATTGAACATTTCAATATTTTCAAATTGATGTATTGCTTGCTATTAGTCATTAAAAAAAACTTTTCGAAAACTTTTCTTCGTGTTGCTATAAATGTACTAACATTAGAAATTGCATTAATTTTTACTTGCCAATAAGACTTTACAAGTCGACATTCTTGAGGCTTAGCGAATGACTTACGCCTAGCCTTTGAAAAACTTTCATTGATAGTCAACCTGAATCAAAAGTCTGCTTGTTTCCTTACGTATACCAAAACACTTTCATGTGAAGCTAAAATTATGTGACTGTTTATTGAAACATAGAAAATACAACAATTCAATTCTTATTACTAGCTTGAAATCAACAATGGCGTATTGCATAGACTTGTCAGCAGCCTCGATTCATTTTTTCAATAATAAGGCTTTTTAGACTATGATTGCGTAATTCTAATTAAATAAAGTTTAAATAGTTATTCACATTATCTTTAAAAATAAACAATGAATGTATCAATATCATTCTGAATTCAACTCTAATTGTCATTAGTTGAGATTAGTCATGTAAAAGATATACTTGATGAAACAAAAGATGTACTAATTTTATATTTAAGTGTTTTGCTGCTCAAATCAAACACTACTGGTGTGAAGGTAAGAATCTTTTTTATTTTTGCATATCATTTTCAATCGTATTATTGCATGCTTATAAAGCATATTATTTTTTCTCTGCAGTAGATCTCTTTTCTTCCTAGAATTAGAATTTGTTTTTTCATAGTCGTGTTTTATAAAAATTAGAAATGAATCAGAAATCATTAAGAATAGAGGTGAAAGTTCCTGGATGGAGCCTGATGGCATTGGATACTTCGTTAAATGAAGTAAAAAAGGATGTCTTAAATCAGTTAAACCAGCAAAATCTTACTACTATTGAAGTGGTTGTTACTAAATCATGTAAAAATGCACTCTCTCTGGTACGTTCAAAGAAAAACCATACAGGCAAATCTTTGATCGTATATATACCACAAAATTCTATCGACAATAAGAGTGCTTGTAATGCAAACTCGATATCTTCTATGCGCGTAAGAAACGAAGAAAATAGTAGGGATGAAAGTATTTTGAACGAAAAAGAAAATAAACAAGTATCGTCTGAATTAAAATTTAATTTCACTCATGAAAAAGGACTAATAATAGAGAGTGATTTCATTGATTTAAAAAACATTTTTTCGAAGTTTTTATCTCGTTCATCATTGTCCATAGACTTGAATCTTTTTATAAATGAGATATGTGCTTATTGTTTTAATTCAAGTACTAAATACTATGTCAATATATCAGAAACTCGTCGTGAAATATGTAGCCGATTGAGTTATTTCGTTTGAAGCGCCAAACAAAAAGCAAAAGTGAGACATACAACAGTCATTACCGTTTTGAGCGAATATGATTGTTTTACTTTTTATATAAAGAGTGTAGAGTCAGTTCAGCGAACTGATGAATTATTGCCACTGAAGTTTGAGACATATGCTAGTATCAATTCTTCAGATCACGTTTTATTAGTTCGAGACAATGACCAAGTATGTATTCAAGCTGGAAACACATGTCTTTACATGTATATTAGTGAGTCATTCGCTTTTCGGGGCCTTGAACAATTTGATTTGTCGAGAATTGTTGATATCGACGAGCTACTTGATATGATCGAAAGTTATTGTCAACTACGGAACTTACAATTGGACATTGAGAAGAACAAAGATAATTTTAAAACGTCCATTCTCAATACACGAGTTGAAATGAATCAATCAAAATTTTTCCCTTGTACGTGTACTATAGATCTAGTTGACCAATATTTATGTCCTCAAACCGATGTTGTTTTTGATTTAGATACTCTATTAGGACCTGTTTACGCTACCAGAGGCATAAAACGAAAACATCAAGAAGTACCATCGGATACTGAGAGTAATGTTTTAGATGTATATGATGATGAGCAAGACGAATTGTGGGAGTCAACTTCGGGATCTTCTGCTAAAAGGGATAGAAATAAAACAAAGAATGGTATTGTTTCTCCAAGAGAAGAATTACTACGCAAGTTTCTGCACATCAAGGATGAATACCATATTACAGATTCAGCCATCAGAGCTATGCATGCGTTTTTTAAAGAGACAAAAGAATCTTTCTATTCGATATCAGAAATTGAACGAGTACAAAAGAAGGCTAATAAAAATATTCCTTTAGAATATACAAAAGATTCAGCGTATGTTCCGTTCGAATTTGCTCTACGAGCTGCTGTGTTCGTTGCCATTAAATTTCGACCTGATCTGTTGAAATTGAACCATCTTTCATTTCGTTTAAATATGGACGGTACTCTTATGGGTAACAAACATGTTGTAGCTATATCTGTTAACTGTGTTGACGGAGGACTCTGCTGTCAGACAGCTAAAAAGCTAGTACCTGTTGGTATTTTTTAGATACAGAAGGAATCTAATGAACTGTTGCGACAAACTCTACCGAAACGTTTTCTTGATTCTATTCAATCTGTAAAACAACTACAAATTAATAAGAAAAAGAGCGCCACTATCAAAGTTAGGTTAGATGGAGATTACCAAAATGCTGTATACGTATTTGGTTTAGCAGGTGTTCATAGTAATTATCCTTGCGTATTTTGCACCCAGAATAAAACTTATCTACATGTCACAGAAAAAAATACAGTATGCGACGAAGAAGTATGGGTAGGATCAGGGAAAAATAGAAAGAAGGAAAAACGAAAAATGATTGTAAATCCTACTTCAATTTACGATCAAACTTTAGGTGCTAGAACGCTTCAAGAAAAACGAGAATGCTTGAAAAAAAAATAAAAAAAAATCTAACAACGAATTAGGATACCAATCAGAGCCTCTGTTTGGAGATTTGTTTGACTTTAGTGACTATGTACTCGATACTCTTCATATGAGATTGAGAATTTTTGACATAATATTAAAAGATATCTTAGCCGAAGCTTCACGAACAGGAGAGTATGAGCCAACACATACAAAGAAACTTGAAGAGAAGATTGACATTCTGAATAAACATGCTATTAATACTATTGGAAAACGATTTTTCTTTAAATTTGAAACAGAAAATAACGTTAAAACAATTGTATCTTGTGGTCGTTTTTCAGGTCATCTACAGCAAGCATTTTTTGTTGATTCTTTTCCATATGAAAAAATCATTGAAAATAAAGATCGTGCCACAAATGCGAAAAATTTAGTCCAGAAATTTAAAGCAATTCTTCAGATAATTAAGACAGATAAATCAAAAAGAACAAGCGATTTAGCTGAAGTTGCGAAATCTTTTGTTAAAGACTTTCGTCATTCAGGACTACGAGCAGGTTGTACTCCTTATATGCATTTAATAGGTACACATTTAGCTGAGCAGGATAAAGCCGAAGATCTGCGTGCATACGACATGCAAGGAGTTGAAAAGTCCAATGATTTACTGTCTCGTCTGTATTTTTCATCTAGCAATCGAGCTAAAAATCCTTTAAGAACAATGATGCAAAATTTATACCGACGACTTGAAATGAATTTTGCTGATCCTAAAGATCGTGTGGCTCTAAATAACTATTCTCTGAATGGAATATGGACTGATACTGATAGCGAAGAAGATGACAATAGCGTAGATGAGATTTTCAGTTGTTCTTCCAGTTCCAATCAATCAGATTTCTCATCTGTTGATGATAATCAATCTGATCAAGGCAATGATCATGAATCTAGTCAAGAGAGTGATGATGAATTAGATGAAGAAGAGTCAGATCAAGCTCCTTACTATATAACACATGTCAAGTTGAAGAACACTTTAACTGTAGTTACAAAGGTGCAAAACAATCGTTTTTCGTTTCTTCAGTAAACAAACAATTTACTGATTAACACCGAGTTTCGTTTTTTCTTCTTCTTTCTATTGAAACTAATTGTAGAGCATCAAAATAGTTTCATTATGTCTCAGCCATGTTCGATAGAGAAATGTATTCGTCCATTGCGTGGGCTGTGTGATTGGTGCGAACAAACTCTCTGTCTTCAACATTTAAGTGAACGCAATGCATTACTTATTTCTCAACTCGATCTTTTCAGTGCAACAGAAAGAACTCAGTCGTATTCGTTTAAAGATAGCTGAAATCATCAATGTACAAGAAACAACTCGTAAAGGTATCGATTTATTGGCATCAAATATTCATGAACTTGATCTATCAATAGAAGAATTTATCTTCCTGGGCAAAGCTCTCGATCACTAACGACTAATAGTAAACATTTGTTGATGCATCAACGTCCGAATTTGTGCTTATTTGATAGAGAAATGAATATAGGCAAACATATTTTGTGGTCCTACGGTAAAATTTGGGATACGTGCTGGTCGTCAAATTTAAGCCGATTCATTGTACTCGGAAAAAATAAGATTTTTATTAATACGGTGCGAAGCACTGCATTCATGTAGTCCGTCGCGAATTTTTTTTTGCTTCTTTCTAACTTGAGTACGCATAAAGAAATCAGATTAAGTAGCGCGATGATCTAGAGAACCATAAATGATAGAAAATCCATTCGAACTAGATATGAGAGTGTAAAGATCGAACTTGTTAGATCTTTTTTCAAATTTTCAACACTAAGTTTCGTTCGCCTAAAAATCATTTTTCTTTTTAACTTGACGCATATTTTTCAAAATTTTAATACGATATTTTGTTTGCTCAGAAATATTCTCCCAAAATGACGATTTTGAAAGATATTTATCGTTTCAGACTTTCGCGCTAATTAAAATGACGTCATCAATAGTTGTTAACCAATAGTCTATTGCGTTACATCTGATTCAAGATAACGATTCATGAAAATAATTAATCATTCAATGAAAAAAATCGGTAGACAACTGGTTGTTACATTTTCAGAGAGATTTCCTAGTGATGAATTTCAAAATGGCCGATTTAAGAATAGTGAATGCAAAATTTTAATTCAAAATTCGTATACGGAAATTAAAAAAAATAAACGTTTGTAAACAATTTTAAAGTAAATCATTTATTTTTTAAATCTTATTCTCGCTACTTTCGAAAATTCGACTCGTGTGCTTCGCACCACATTTCTTAGTCGAGTGAAACTCGAATATCATCTAGTTACAGATGTGATCGAAGGCGGTGGAACGATTTCAGTCTAGGGTTGAGCCAGTTCTTCAAGCAAGACATACCTACCTGTCTAACGAATTAGCATTAAAATCATATTACAATCGATTAAAAAATGATCAATAATTAATTATGAGCATACATCTTTTATTGGTTTTTAACATGTTTCTAAAGAATTTTAATCAAAGCTAACCTAAAAATTAAAATTTGAATGGCCCCTTACCAGCTGTTCCAAGTGCCGTGGATAAAACTGTATAATAAAAATTGTTCATCAATGATACTGACCGATGAAAATTAAGTGATAACTTTCATTTATCACAAAGGAAAACACGATTGTATACGGTCGTCTACGGCGGTCGTAACGCTTGATCTGGGTATGGATATTCAAATTTACCACGAACATAAGTATCAGACTTAAAGATAACTGACTAATCGTATTTCGAAGAAAAGAAATTTCATCGCCCTAAAGACGAAAGCTTACATATTACCTTTTGTACTGTTCTATCAATAAGGCTAGCATTCGAAATACTCACAAAACGTAAGAATAAATGCATGTACTCAAATCTGTCATAAATTATGTTAAAACGGTTTCAATCCATACGTCAATCAATATTCTAGGATAGCGCCCTTCTAAGCTGTTAACAACGTCTTTTAGCTCTAGTCTAATCGTTCACAAGTATTTTCATGTTTAACCGAATGATATTTCTGCTTGTTTTTCTTATTCTCTTTCTTTCGGATACGTCTGTAGACTGTCTTATCACGTGCATAATTTTCAATCATTCTAAACTACTCAATAGAGTAAAATACAAAATTCATGGTATAGTAAAGACTGACAGCGACGTCTGTAAATATCTATTTTTAACGTAGCCTTATCGGGGTTAATGATGCTTCGTACAACGCTATAGTTCAGTTGACAATCTCAATGGCTTCACTCTAAAAAGTTATGGCTTGAATAGGTCATTTTTGAATCGTAGATATTCCTAGCTAAACGTATTACATCATTTTATTTATACTTTCAACAAGATGGCGTTAGATCCTGTTCAACTCATAATAGTTGTTGCTAGGTTGCCAATGAGTAACATGGAAAGGAAAATGGTAAGAATAAAAAAAAATACACTTTAGAAGTATTTATTTAATGGAATTTTACACATGTTAACTTGAATATGACGGACGATCAAGAATTGCAACCGGATGTTTCCGAAAATGAAGAACAAGAGAATAGATCAGTGAAAAATGGCAACGATTTGTCTGAACTATCATTATCGTCAGCATCTGAAATCGATCCAGAAGAAAAAGAGATTGAAGAAGAAATACAAAATGATGACCTTTCACCACAAGTTCATGACCAAGTCGATGAAATTCTTCACATTAATGAAAATACGAAAGAAGAAGAAGAAGAACAAGAAGAAGAAGATGAACTTACAAAATTTATCAATCGAGCTAAACATCAAGGTTTTAATTGTCTCGATCTTTCAAAAAAGAACATTGCTCAATTTCCTACACCATTATTAGAATTTCCTTCATTGCAAGTAAATTCTTATTTAGCATCTGATTTATCAATCTCGTACTGTTTTTTTTGTCTTCTTTAGTATTTGTATTTAGAAGGTAATGGAATCACAAAATTACCCGATCATTTATTTCTTCAATTACCAAATTTAAAATGGATTGATCTACGCAACAATAAAATAACTCGAATTCCAGGCATTGGTCTCGATAAAAATGCTTCATTACGTTATTTATTATTAAGTGGAAATTTAATTCGAACGTTACCTGTTGAACTTGGTAAAAATTTCTTTTTTTGCATACATTTCATAGCTTCCCCAAATTCTATGGTAGAAAACTGTAAATTTTGTAACAGATTCATTCTGTTCGTTTAGAATGATCTTCTCAAACTCGATTATAAAAAGATATAGTTGTTAGTTAAATCATTTTAAAACTAGTGTGTCGAAATCAATAGTTCTTTGTGTATCCTAAAAGAAATGTTGTCCCATTTTATCTACATCTAAATCTGAAATCAGGACATATGTATATATATATATTTCTGTTTCATTTAGGTAAAGTAAAAGGCTTAGCAGCACTTAATCTTGATGGGAATCCATTAGAACATCCACCATTGGACATTGTGAAACAAGGTATTAAAGCCATTCAACAATATTTACGTGATGAACATATTCGCGAGTCAAAATGTGCAAATGAAAAACTTGATTCCGACGATGAATATTATGAAGTCGAACGGCAAACTCTTATAGTACCAGATGTTTGGGCATCATCCGACGAAGAAAATGAAGATCAACGACGAATATCAAGGTCTCCTCAACATACCTCTTTATCGCGCCCATCGTTGATATTTCTTCGAAAATCTAAGTATTTCGATAGTAAAAAAAAATCTAAATATATCATTCACCAATGTTTTCATTTTATTTGGTGCATTGATTTTTAGAGAATTAATTTTGCTCATCTAGTGCTTATTTACATATATATATATATAGATCCGAAGCTAGTCACTATAAATCAGCTGCTACAAATCCGTTAACTATTCATCTACAATCATGTATACGTCATCACAGAGTGAGTTATTCGGAGATGCGTATGCATCATCTGCCATCAGGTCGACGACGAGTTCACTCTGATATCAAGCTACCTCGATTGTATGTCGGTTGTTTTTGTTCAATAAAAAAAATTAGTATCGACGCAGTAGCCTGTACACGTTTTGCACTTTCGATCGTTCTTTCTCTCTCTCTCTCTCTCTCTTTTATTTTCTATCGTGCTTTTATTTTTGTATCCTGTTGTTGATTGTACCACTATGTTTGACTGGCTGATTTGTTACTATTGCAATAAGCAGAGGGAGAGAGCTTCATTTGTTTCTCAAGTGTTGTTATCTTAATTTAATCAAAAAAAAAAAGAAGAAGAAAATGCTCAAGAATTTTTATTTCTCTAATATTTTATTTGTTTAGAAAACCAAAGCCAATAACAAAAAAAAACAATCAACCAACAAAAACAATATCAAATGATCCAGAGGGAGATGCCTATGTAGCTCGCGCACATGAAGAGCAACGACTTCGTTGTATGAAAGTATGTTCTCATACTTATAATAATTAACAATGAATAAATTTCTTCTGTTTATTTATTATAATCAAAGCATCGTAATATGAAAATTACTGAAGAATTAGAAAAAGTGAAAAGTAAAGATTTATTACATGAATGGAAAGAAGATTATCGTTCTACTCAACAACAATTACGTCGAAAACGTCTTGTTAAAGGAAAAGGTAATCCTACATTGGCGAAAAATCGTTGCTATCTTTTTTTTCTCTTGTTGAAATAGATTATCAAGAAGCAGTCGCACAAGCTCCATTTGGTATTGATCCACATTATATATCAGTTATGGACAAAGATCAACAAGAATTTGTCGAAAAAGCAATCAGATATGAAAGTCGACGAAATCGTTCGCCGGAAAGTGCCATGCGAGACGAAGAAGAAAGGTAAATAAAACGGAGATAGTTGAGAAATATTTCTCCGTGCGAGAACATGTAGAACACAGAAAGTAGATCAAAAGATGTATGCACAAATCAATTAAGAATTGATTCCGGAACCGGATGTACATATTCATTTCCGATGGTCAAGAAAGAAACAATATATCAGCACAAGTAGTGATTTACTTCTAATTTAGTTTCATATATCAAAAACATTATATGCGTATTATAAAAAAAAAGCGAAAATTAAGTTGTTTGTTTTTATGGCCTTTGTTATTGTAAACCTTGAAAGTTAAGTACGAATGTATTATACAATGATGTGCAGGTGTAAATTGTATGTTACTTGTTGTTCGCGCTACGCCTGCCTATTCAATATGGACTGGAGGATAAAGTTTTTAAATGAATATAGGTATTGCACAGAATATGTTTTTTTTAGACGCATACGTGATCGACAAGTTCAAGAACGCATACGTGAAATTACTGGTAAAATAATAAAACGTCGTGGTGAAGTACGTGGAAATGCCTCCGATGAAAAACGACAAGCAGAAGTCGAACTACGCGAAGTAAAATACGAAGTTTTTTTTTTTTTGATAGGACTTGCTTTCAATACTTCTTATTCTAGCTAAGAAAACTTGAAACTGAAATCAAACAACGTCGTACTCAAATCGACACTCGTTTTAAAGCATATACTGGTGATGTAAAAGCTCGAAAAAAATTGTGATTTCAATGAAGATTTATTTGTAAAAATTAATTCGCTTGAATAAATTTGAATTATATAATCGAAACGTGATGTCAGTTCTTGAATATTTTTGCTTGATGAATTTCAATTTCTAAATAGGCTTATGGCAAGAAAAACGGTGGTTAACGCATTGCAATGTTGTTATTATAATTGATAACAACGAGAAAAGGTTCTCAATAGAAACAAAAATGCTTTACTTTCGATTTTAATTGAAAGAGAACAATTTTTTTCCCCTCCTCCGTGTAATTGATACTAGACTAGCCAGTAATTAGTCGTTCGTCCCCAATTAACAATCAATGATCAGCCATTCGTCTTTTTGTCTCTTCTACTATTATACCCTCAAGGCAATTTCACATATTGAGCACACGAGAGAGAGAGAGAGACTCAAAATTGAAGGTAGACGAGACATGTAAGTACATGCATAGAAAAGAACAAAGACGAACAAAATGGACAATACCCTCATGTGTAATTATAGAACATGAACTATGATGATGAACAATTTAGTGAAAAGAACAAAAAAAGCATAATTGTTATTTTTTTTGTTTTGCTTAACTTATTCGTCACATGAATACAATATCAGTCAGATATAAATCCAATAGAATAAAAGACTCGATGATCGATTTAAGATGGAAAATACTTTGGAAAGAGTTCTAGATTTTCGATTATAAATATGTTTAATCCGGATTGATTTACTTAATGTTTTCTTGGCACTCGCATCAGGAGGTCCCAAGAAAAAAAAAAACGTTAATTAGGTTTAAGAATCGCAACAGTACTTAATCTCGGATAAGTATGAAACGAGAAGAAGGAAAAAATGTCGAGTGTTGTTTTCTTAGAAATAGTTTTCAAATGTTTATTAAAACAATAGTAGTATATATTGATGAATAGATTGATTGGGAACACATAGTCAATAACAACAACAGAAAACGATTTCGATTCTCATACTTAAATAATATGATGTTGTCAAACAATCTGTGCGGGTCAATGGATTGATTATATAATCAAAATGAAGTTTTGTGCTTGATGAATTTTTAATTCATCAACTCTCCTTCTCCTCCTCTTTCACTCCGAAAAAGAAAGAAAAAAAATGCGAGTGACAATTGAGCTTGTGGCAAAATTTGACGCATTCAATGTTGTTATTACCGATCATCGAATCGACACGTGTGGACTCATGTTGACGCGACACATCTACTAGCAGAGTTCATTCATCTGATAAATCATCAACTATAGGCTATGCTTGTCTTCATTAGAAATAAGTAAGATGACCCCTACCTAATTATCAATGGTAGTCAAATCGGACAGGCGCGTGAAAGCGAAGGTGACGTCTTAACATTAAACTCCACCCAACTCCTAACGAGAGAGAGAGAGAGACAGAGAAAGCGAGAGTTAAACGTTGATTTCCGATTTTGTGACACTTGACTCAAATTAAACTTGATGAGAGTGAGAGAACAAGTCTTAAATATTTCTCTCTCTCTCTCTCTTAACATAGATTAAAACTGAATAATGACTGTTCCATTCTTAGTTTTGCCTCCGGAATGAAAAGTAAAAAAACATTTCTATCAGGCGATATAGTGTATACACAAAATCTTTTATTCAACTCATCTCGTGATAACAAGTAGTAATAGTAGTAGTAGTAGTAGTACAAGGCAGAAAAAAGAAAGATGATGATGACAATAAAACGACGGAAAAAAAATGAAAAGAGAAGTGCCCGAGAGAGAAAACAAAATGGCCCGTAAATAGCACTGTGTAAAAAAAAATAAACCCAAAAAAATGAAATTATTGATACCCAAAACCGGGAACAAAAGAAAAGAGAAAAAACAAAAACAAAACGAAAACAATGGTAGTAGTGATGTTCTTCTTGTCTAAGACAATGATGAATTAGCTACAATGTTTGCCATATTTATTTGATACATATCTTTTACAAGTTGTTCCATGTGTGTTTTATCTCCGATTGTTTTACGAAAAAAAAGTTCTTCAATTGTCAACGATGATATTGAACGTAGGCCAGCAAGTAAATGTATTAATTTACCGAAACGATACGGTTGAGATGGATATTGTTTATTTATATATGTATTTAATAATATTTGTGCTTGATCTTGTAAATAGGCAATGCTATGGACATCTTGTAATTGTGGATTTGTCATTGTTTGGCAATTACTTAGAACAGTTTTAAATAGGACAAGACTTTTTAAACAGATAAATTCATTTGAATCGATTTCCATGTGTTTAAATTTAATCAATAAATCTTGAAAATATTCAATATCTGACTTGAGATTTTCATGTTTACCTTGACGATAGAGAATTTCAAATTAAAATAAGAAAATTTTCTTTTTTTTTTACAACTCTTACCTGATTTATTGAGAAGATCAGTGATGTTTAATGAAAATTGTTGTTCGGCAGCAGTTAAAATAAATAAATCTCGCCAACCTTCTTCAAGCAAGGAAAGCTAAAGAAAAAAGAATGAAAGAAAAAAGAAAAATAACCAAGCAAAATAAAGTTAATTGACATACTTGATCATGATTGGATAGGGATACAAATGCTGGTACAGTTTTTGCCCAATTAATGGCATTGAATAAAATTCTTGCAGCAGATTCATGTGCATCGAATTGATGTTCAATAATTGATGTACGTAAATCTAATGGATATTTTGGTGTTGGATGAATAATGGAAGAATTTGTTGACATATTACTATAATCAATTCCGTTTGTTGACGACGACGACGATGATGATGATAATGGATGGTGAAATGTTGCTGGTACGGGATGAGGATGAGGACGCTGATGAAAACTGTGTTGTTGATGATATGCACTTATTAAATCACTCGATTCTTTAAGTAATAAAGCCATTTGTCTTCGTATTGTTGAATTTCGTGGTCCACGTTCATGTTGAACGGCTATTGTAAAGAAGCAAACACGAAAAATTAAAAAGTTATTTTTGCTTTAGGTATGTTTTTTCATTTTAGTCATTTGAAGAACTAACACACTTTGAAGTGGATAAATATTCGATGAAGTAGGGTGTCGAAATAGGCAAAAGAAAAATTTGTGATAAAGTCCTCTAAAGCAATTCTGTCCGTCTACACCCATATTTAAAATAAACAAATACCTTCTTTATTCATTCCAGCTTCTAAACAACGTGTTAAACGACAGCTTCGACATTGATTACGATGAGTTTTATCCACTGGACAATTTCCTATTCCGTGATTTTTACACACATATTGACGATTCCGTCGAATTGAACGTTTGAAAAATCCAGCACATCTTTAAAGGAGAAAATAAAAAATTTAATTTATCTAGATTCATAAAAATATAGGCAGGGAAGAAAACAAAAGGCAACATAAAAACGAACAATAGTACGATAATAGGCACATACCATCATGATATACAAATGTTAGTAGAGAAATAAAATCAGAAAATGGAAAAAAAAGAGAGAGAAAAAGACTCTAAAACTAAGATTGTTTTAATTAACTTACCCATCGCATGCAAATATTCCATAATGTTTGCCTGATGAATTGTCATTACAAACTTTACATGGAACATCTGTTAGAATGCGACCTTAAATATTTTAAAAAAATGTATTTTTCTTTTTTTTTTTTGTTTTGTATTAAAAGTAATCGTAATTTACTTGATGTTGTATTCATTTGTCGATGTCCGTTCATTGATGAAATCAAAATCTGAAATGGATAGGCCACTTTTTATTAATAGAAAAAAAAGAGAGAACGACAAAAAGTCGAACAACCATTCAGAGAACAGTGCGCATACAAAATCAATTCATTGGGTGGTGTTTGATATGTCTATGTATATATATTTCCTTTCTCTCTCTTTCTCTCGTTTTTTTTTCTTCTTCTGCCTTCTTCTTCTACTTCTCTAGTCATCGATTTTGGCTCATGACATTAAAAGAAAAAAGGCAAGTTTATTCTCATTGGTTCGATTGAAAGAAAAAAAGTCAATACAAAGTGAAAATACAATCCACGCCCGACAATTTTCTTTATAATGTATATGATGTACCTCTTTCTCGACTTTTTTTCTTGTTACTTTTTATGCACGCAAAATGCCGAGGCAAAAGTTATACAACGAAAATGGCAGTAAGCAAGGTGATTTCATCCTAAATCAACATTAACAAAAACTGACGATGAAGTCTTCATGTCAATTTTCAAAATGAAACAAAAAAAGAAGAAGAAGAATAAAATAAAGATGAGCATATTTATATTCCTATGTGTGAACAAGACACTTGGGGTATCCCTAATTGGTCATTGTCTAAAGGTGTATCTCTTAATGATATGTCATTTATTGTATGCGAATAGAAAAGAAGACAATAGGATCGTGAATGTAGTCGACCTCGTCAATCGATAGGTAAATGTCGTCGCCGTTTCGCGTATTCAAGATCCTTGTGTTAAGCTTCACTACTCATATGATTGTATGATGTATATATGTTCCCTTTTTCTTTCTGTCGAAGATTTTTATAATCTTCAATAGACGTTTGTGCACGCTCTATTTGCTAAAGAAGAAAATTGCTATTCGACTATATTACTGGTTCCATTCAACCGTCGACAACGACCACAAACAAATAATCGAGGAAGGAGAAAAGAGAGACTACCTGCCTGTCAAAGATTAGTGCCTGTTACTACTATTTGAATGACAAAGCGAACGAATGTTGATCGTGCTCGGTCAATATTGCACACACACACACGCGTGTGCATATATTTGTTAGTATGACTTTATTAGTATCGATATTCATAGCGGAATAATCAAGTCAATATAAAGAGGAGCTGGGTGGAGGTCTACAGAATAATATATATATATATATATATATGTATTTTTTTTTGCATTAAGCTGCTTATATGATTGAAGAAAAAGAAGAAGACGAAGAGAAGAAGGAAGACACGTAGATTGATCGAGGTCGAAGGCAAAAAGGTATCCATTGAGATATCGAATTGCTTGTTTCAAAATGAAACTTTAGTAGTGATGGACAATGACAAGTCCGACAACAAACAGGGCGGCACAAATTAAAAGAAGAGAAAAAAAGTGATCATCACATACCATTGAAATCGGTACGTGTGAGTTTGAGCCAGTAAGAGATCCGCTCTGATGTCATCTCTTTTTTTCTTCTTCGTCTTTTCTCACTAATCTCCCAACATGATCGAACAAGTTCAACAGTATACTTTTTCGCAAGGTGACAGATTGATGAATACAGAGGTTACATCACATTTGTGTTGATAATTATGTTCAACTTGTTTTTTAACAAACAAAAAAATAAGATAAAAAATTCTTGAGCATTATTTTGTCTGTCAAATAGAACACATTCGTATACATACATATATATATATATATGCATACAATCAAACGTGCGTGTCAATATGAAATTAGTTATTTGTCAATTTATGTATATATATATAATAGAGATATTTCGAATGAGATTTTTTTCTCTTTATTAGTATGTCTGTTATTTGCAAATTACACTTTGAACGAATAGTCAGACGAATAAGTCTTTTGAAGCGGTTGAACGCGTGTATTTAAAAGAAAGTGTTATTTGGTTTTCAAAATGATTGATGCCGCTTTGTTGATCATATGTGACACATTCTCAATTATTAAATCGATTAAAATACACTGATTCAATCTTTGCCATTACGTAAACATATAAGAGAATAAAAATGTGTGTATGTGAGTTCGATTTGATATATGTATATATGTATGTATGTACAAATGAAGTTCAAAGAAAGTTAAAAATACAGTTGCTAACGTTGATGATGACCTATCGGGAGGATTTAATTTTTGTCACATACATGAAATTTGACTTTGTTTCAGGTGAAGAAGAGAGGGATAATCATGGTAGCTACATACACGAGCATCATTGTTCAAGTCAACATGTGCATTCGAGATCATGCACGCCTGTATGAATGTATGTATTTATAATCCTTCTTGTTTGTAAGGTGAAAGGAAATAAAGACAATGGTGATTTAACACAGGAGGGTCAAATCGACCATCCGTCTCTCTCTCGCTCTATTCAACTATCCTTGATAAGTGTGTTTAAATGTGCTGATTTATTTCGCTTTTTTTCGTGTTTGACAATCAAACATTTGCTAAATCACCATATCACTTCTCGATTTTGCCGCTTATTCATTATCAACAATGGTAGTATAGAGCTGCTGGTGTATCTAGCAGGTGACTATCGTTTGATCGTTAGAGAGAGAGAGAGAGAAACACATTTACATTGACAAATTGTTTCACACCGACTAATTGTTAGTAGACAGAAGGAAAAAAGCAGCAAGAGGACAAGTGTAACGAACAAACTCTCTTCAATTGATTGAAATCATCACTCATGTTCTCGAATAAAAATGATCAACAACTTAGAAACTTCTGCACTCACTGTCATGTATATATATATGACTGCGGGAGGGTGCCTTTTTCACACCTTTATTGGGCGACACCATCAGAGAATAAAAATAAAAAATGAAATAAGAACGGGAGGAGGCTGGTTGGGAAGCAACATAAAAGAAACCATGGATGCAAAAGAAAGTAATACAAAAAAAAGAGAAGCAAACAGTTTCTGACATATTACTCTAACAATGAGTACTACAATTAATTCATTCAATGGAGGTTTGATTGATATTGACTAAAAACAAAGGTCCAGCTTTATCTTGTATAGATCAACAACAATCAAGTTCATCACCCGATGTCGGAGATTTAGAAAAGCATTATATCGATGCCAAAGCTTTTATTTTATCAGCAACAACCAAAGATGGTATCAACTTGTAAATAGATCATTTCGTTTTATTTCGATGTAAAATGATTGAAATGTCGTTTCATATTTTAGATATGATCATTTAGCACATTGCATATCGCAATTATTAGCTGATCAGCCTCGTAAGAAAAAGAAGAATGCCATCATAACTTTTATTTTCTCAATATTTTTAAGGTGAAGGTACTGATTTAGTCGAAGATATTAGTAAAACTATCAAAAGTGAAGCAACTCCAGCTCAACACGATACATTACGAGATCGACCAGCACCAGATTCGGAACATAGTTTAGCTGCAGAACAGAAGCCACTTTTTGAAGTAATCATTTTTCGTTTGTTTGTTTGCTTTATTATCAGCAGCTATTTCATATATGTATTATTCAATTAGAAAGTCGATCATAGCGAAGAACTTGATGACGAAGCATTACAATCGCCATTACCACATATTCTTGAACAAGCATACTATTTTGAACAAGCCGGTATTGGTCTTGGCAAAGATGAATCATATCGGTAAATGAAATATCCGAAACGAAATAGAATATTCTTTTTTCGTTTATATTCTAAATAGAATTTGGCTGGCATTGAAACAACTTGCGGATAAAGGTCAAATTGATAAATTACGTTTTTGGGGAAAAATATTTGGTACACAAAAAAATTATTTTATTGCTGAAGCTGAACAAAATGTTGATGATGAAACAGATGAAAATGAATTACACGAAGAAGCTCATATAAGCGATGATAATCGACATCCGAATGAAGAAGAAATGGACGATGAAGAAGATATGTTACCAAAGTCAACTTATAAACCACCACCAGTCGTACCAAAAGAAGAACGTGGTACTGGCGCTAATAAATATACATATTATGTTTGCAATCATCGTAGGTGTTTCGTTTGAAACGTTTTAATGAATTGAAATGAATTATATTTTCTAGCCGGAGGAGTATGGGTTAAATTACCGATTGTGACGCCAGCACAAATTTCTCAAGCACGTTTAATAAAACATTATTTTACAGGAGATTTAAATAAAGAAATCACATCCTATCCAGCATATCCAGGAACAGAAAGAAATTATTTACGAGCACAAGTTGCAAGAATTAGTGCAACATCAAGTGTATCACCAGCCGGAAAATTTAAATTTTCTGAAGTAAATTAGAAAATTTAATAGTTATTTTTTTTCCAAAAAGCTTTCTTTCTCCTCAGGAAGAAGAAGAAACAGAAGACGAAGGAGCTCGAGAAAGTTACCAAGAAAATGAAGATTTTAAAGGAGCAACATTATCAGAATTACTCGATGAAGAATTAAATGGATGGGTAAAGAAAATATGTTTTCGTTATGTATTTTGCATTAGTATATTTTTTTTAAGGTTCATCATGTTCAATATATTCTTCCACAAGGACGAACAAAATGGTGGAATCCAGGTGAAAATGTTGATAAAGAAGAAGAAGAAAACGAAGAAGAAGAAGAAATGAAAGCGGAAACAGAAGAAATCGAACCGGAACAAGGACCACCACTATTAACACCCATTGGTGCTGATGCCGAAATACAAACTACAAAAGCATGGACAGCAAAAATTTCCTCACATCTGATTCCACAATATGCCTGTGCTTTTGTTCGATCAAATCTTTGGCCTGGCTCCTATGCATTTGCTCGTGGCGCAGTTTGGGAAAATATTTATGTTGGTTTCGGACATAAATATGCTACAAGTGATTATGGGCCAGAGTTACCACCATTGCCAGCCAATGAATACAGTGATGGGCCAGAGATTGGCGAAGCTGAAGATCCATCGCCAGAAGAAGAAGCGAAGGCTAGAGCGGCAGAAGAACAAGCTGCCGATGAAGGCGAAGAAGAAGAAGCAGAAGAAGAAGTTGACAATGAAGACAACGACGATTAATTTTTATAAAAAAAAAATAGTTTTAAATTTTTTTCTTTTTTTTAAATATGAGTATATATAAAAGAAAATGTTTTATTAATTATCCGTTCGATTATTGGATAAAACAAAAACAAACGCTCAAGATATCTAAACATGCAACATTTTTATTGCATCCAGTCGCCTGTATACTCTCTAATCTCATAACAAAATTAGAAATATAAAAAGAGCAGAACATTTTTTACAGGAAAGAAAGAAAGAAAACAAAAAATGAAATCCGAACTTCCAGATTTGAACTGAGGACCTATAGGTTACTACGACAGATACACCATTATAGCCTACCGCTCTGCCAGCTGAGCTAAGTTCGAATGTTCGATGCCCAGGTCGAACAGTACGGTCCGTATACGGCCGTTGACGGTTACTTTACGACTATTCTACGGGTGAAAGTTTGCCGTAATATCTGGCGCAGTAATACGGACCGTATTATCATGAGAGTACGGAGCACAAACAGCCGTAAACCATGAAAATTCAGTCCCGTTTACGGAGCCGTATTACTGCGCCAGGTATTACGGGCAAATACGGCCTATTGACTGCCGTAAATATACCGTTTGACATCGCTTACCATCGATAAACAGACCATAAACGAGTCCGTTTTGATCCACCTGGGTGGAGATCAAAAGTGATACATACTTGTATTTGATTCTTGAATAGATTCGTGTAACTATTTAGCATGCGACGATTTCTTATACGGATAGTATTACAAACAAGTAAACATGTCATCTACACCGAGGAAAACATTTACGGATTAGAGAGAAAAAATGAGTAAATGTTTTTTTTACTAAACATGAAATGGATTCAACCTCACTAACTGAAACATTCTTTTAAGATATTTCATATAGTTACATTTCTATTGAGATGATAGAATGCATTTTTCGACTCCGATTGACAACTAGATGTTATCCGAGTTGCACGCTTATACGAAATGCGATGCGAAGCAAGAATCCGTATCTCGTACGAAAAATCTTCAATTGATAGATTTTCAATATTTTTTATATAGCCCTAATGTAATTCATCACTGAGAAAACTCTATTCTTACAGACGGATTTCGATTGATCGATTAATTATCTCCATGATTCATTATCTTAGATCAGCTGTAAATGAGTAGGCTATAGTGGCTAACATCTGTTGATGATGTCACCTTAATTATCTCGCAACAAATATCTTTAATTTTCGTCATTTGGAAATAAATTTCTGAGAGAACGGAACGTCAGATTGAAGATTCGAAAACAGGTGTTATAAGTTCGATCTCGATACTTCCATCTGACGTTTTAGCTACTTTTCTACGATCTTGTGTTCTCGAGATCATCGCGTCACAAAACGACGACAAAAAGATGCGTACGTCGAGAATGCAACAGCAAAATAAAACACGCGACGGACTACAGAAATGCTTCTGCTTCGCATCGCATTAATAAAATCCAAAACTTTCTTGGCAACATTCGCACACTAGTAACTGTTTTTCATTTCACGCCGATGTATGATTGAATACAAAGAATTTTTTTTGTTTTCTATGACTTGTTAGTGAAACTATTTATAAAACACGGAGAAAAAAGCTTTCTATACATTAAAGCCAACACTTTTCCTCTATATAATTTTTATTTTTCGGTTTACAAATAATTGCATCGGAAAATACATTTGTATCCAATGTTAATATTAAACAATCTCAATGATCACGACATAGTCAATCTGTAAAACACATATCGAATAATTCATTATTACCAGATCAACGGATGGAACAATTGTTAAAATTTCGGATTGATGGCCGAACATTTAATGCGAAAAATATCGATGAACTTTATCCAGGTTTAGATCGATTATTGTTACGAAGTTTACAAACAGGTGATTGTCGGCAATTATTCGATCGTTTAAAATGTAATTTAAAATCACAATATTTATTAATTACTGGCAAACATAATATACATATAAATGTATGTTCACAAACATAGACTATACTTGAGAAACTTGTTGAAATGGGAGCTACGCTCTGTAAGAAAAAACGAAACTTGTTTTATTTTGTATGCAGTTTTTATTCAATCTACTTCTTAGATCGTCATTTCTATGAACCAATTCATATGAAAGAACTTGAATTACTGTGTCAATATAGTTTCGGTATTAATGAACGTTTAACAAAGTATAATAATCAATCGATTAGCACTTTCAATTTTAATCATTCACTTATTCATATGGTACGAATAAAAACAAGATTAATTGAATTGCGAATGCAAACATTAACATTAAAAACTTTCTGTCGAATTTAAATTAAAAACTATATTCGAACATTTCCTAATGGTATTTTGCAATTGAATAGACTATCGAAATTTCTTCAAGTTTATTTGACTTATTATAGTCCATTTATTCAAGCGAATGCTACAGATATAATATGACATTTTCTTTAAATAAATATGAGTCAGTTCTGGTAACAATGTTTATCTATTATAAAGAATTAAAAATTTGTTTTGTTATATATTTCGAAACCGAGTACACCGTTTTATACAGTGCGATGGAATCGTAATTAGACATTCAAAACTAGTGTCGGGACCGAGACAATGTGGTTCCACACATCTTTCACCGAGAAATATATTCAAAACAATCAACAGAGCGTATTGATGATGTGAACGTTGGTGTCGATAAAATTAAGCTTAAAACCAACACCCACACCCCTTGATGAAGTATAATTTCTTCATAAGTATTTTTCGTATTATTATCAAAAATAAATCGAACTGTTGCGAATACTAAAATCTGGTACGAAAAAGGATAACGAACCATCAAAAGCGTTTAGGCTTATGCGAGATAAGAAACTGAAGTCGATGTGATCAAAGTATTGGAGTTTATGAGTGAACTAAATGAGAGGTAGCTCTTGATGGCATTCCAACAGATTTTTTTAGGTCATAATGTACCTTACCGCACGGATGAAAACCATGATTCTTTGTTTGCAGTCGTAGGAGATGGTTTATAGTAGTCTCTCGAAAAATTGACTGGAAACTGTCACCAACTTAGCTGCATCTGTAAATCGTGGAAGAGCCGGATCCATGTAGAAGAGTGAAAATAACTTTGCACCATTGAATAGCTATCAGGAAAATATGTCGAGACTTGTACTGGACACATTTTGATCTGTCTCTCTTGTTTTCACTTGTTTATTTGATTGAAAAGCTTACCTACTACAAAAATATCCAGCACTTTCAACTATTAAAAATAAATAAGTACTCCGAGTTTACTTTTCAATTGATTTTCATAGTTTAAATTTAATATGTCGAGAGGAAAAATGGTTGGCTAGTATCTTTGAGGGAGTTTTTACAAGATTTTATGAGAGCATCCCCTAAGTCGATGAAAACAGTTTACCGCAAGAGGGATGAAGCTCAGATGACGTACAAATTGTACCTCATAAATTTCTTCATATAGAGTGAATTTTTCCCTCGTTAGAATCGCGATGTTTGCTCTCACTCTTACCTTCAGCTTTAATCGAATCAAAATGGAATGAATTGTAGACAATCTGTTCGGTCAAAAGTTAGCTCTCATTTAAAACTTTAAAGCAAACTAAAATAAAACGTGTTGAACTGGATGGGATCAATTTCAATTTTCGTGATAGCAATTAATATTTGAGCAAATCGCAAAATAAGTTCATACGTGCGTTTAAAAATCAGAAAGTAAGATGAAAATATTCTTTTGAAAGTCTGCAAAACATTAGCGGTTCCATAAAATAACAACTTTTCCAAGGGGTTCAACATGAGGGAGGGACATGTTTAGCTCATTCGGCAATCTCAGTATCATATAATCATTAAGATTAAAAGTTAGTAAGGATTCTTCTATAGCTGATATTTCAGATAGAATCGAATAATGTATAATGTAAGTATATGATGAGCTCATGTAATTTACACTCAGAGAGAGAGAAAGGGAGCATAGCAAAGAAACTCGCACCAATTCAGAAACAAGACAGGTGACGCCACTGCGTCGTCACAGGAGTGTGAAGGCATTTGACTAGAATCATGCGGGTGTGAGACCAACTGCGGTGATCACAATTTCGATTTTGCTTAACCTTCTCATCAATTGGCTTAATCTATACTATCAAGAATTCTTAAACGTTTTTGCGAATTAATCTTTATTAGAGACGAATCGTCATCGAATTACATCTATGATCCATACATCACATCCTTCTAGATGTTTCTTTTTCTATTCTGTGTTCTTTTATAAACAGAAAAAAGTTGACAAACGGATAAGCGCTTTTTACATCATTCCATAACAGCATGTAACTAAAGAAACGTAACACTCGTGTAAACAAAACATTTTTAAATACATTTTGCATGAAAAGATTGAGCCATTTCTTGGAGATGGGGATGTGAATGTGGATGAACACAGCATTCTGACGAACTGATGGATTTTGTTTTACTATATACTCGCATTCACATCTTCCATATAACGTTTATTTTATCGCAGTTATAGAATAAGTCGATTTGTTGTGATTGAAGAATTCATCGCGTGTTTGTATTAGGCAACAACGCATCTCTCATTCAGATTCGACAACATAATTTGAGTTGCTATGGCCAAAGAAAGATGATTCATATTGATCGACATTTGCGTTCCAGCAAACATTAAACCGATGAAAATGCGTTCATTGACACCCAATACCATTTTTCTTGTCTTTGCATACTAAAAAGACACGTGACAACGGTGGAAGAACGAAACATGATGTGATGGCGAAGAAGTAGAATTGCGACACAACATTCCAATGTATTTGTACATGTGAAGGTCTGTTATGTCGGACTACACTGTAGTGATTTCAAATTTGGCACCTGAATGCAAACATTACATTATCTGTTAAACCATTTCACTATTCAACATTAAACCTTCCAGGTATGCGAGTATAACCTTCGCCTACACCTACATCATGCAAGAGTCTTGCGTGCTATATTTCGTCCTTACTCTCATTCAATTTTTACCTGCAAAAATTATCTGAGACCGAAACGGACCATATTTCAAAATGAGTTACATAATTCGAGTTTGAATATAAATAGAAGCTCAGAAGCACGTCGTCATATCGAAAAAGTGTGATGAGTTTATGCTCGACATAATAAAGGAAAATTTGAATTTGAGTGGGCGTGTTAATCGAGCACCAGTAATCTGGCTGGGAGGCCTATAAAAACGAATGATCTTGGTCTGATTCTGACAAGATTTGTTTTTCATGTTCTGCATGGTCAAAGTCTTGAGTAGAAAAAAAAAATTTTCATTCTTTCTTCATTCTCTTCTCCTCGAAATCCTTTCAAAATTCTTCAAAATTTTAATTCGACCTTCTTACAGCATTTTAATAGAGACGAATATTTAAATACTTTTGTTCGGTGCATTACTCTTTATTTATTTCACTTTTTTGACAATTTCATTACAGTGAAGACCGTTAATAGGTATAGTGGTGATCATCATTCATGGCATGCTTTTTTATAATTTTGTTTTTTCTCTTCGTTCTGTTTTAATGTTTTTTATTATTAATTATTTTCTGATTTTTTAATAATTAATTATTCATATTTTTAAGACGTTTCGGAGATATCTTACTCCTTCTTCAGTTTTATTTTATTTGGTGTTATATTTATTTTTACTATTTACAATATGTATCTGACTATTATTTTCCTTTTTCTTTTCTTTTTCTTTGATAGTGGAACGGAATAACAAGACGGTAATACTGGCCGATAAAACCTATATGTTTTGACGTTCCGTTCCACTATTAAAGAAAAAGAAAAGAAAAAGAAAAACAATAGCCAGATACGTATTCTAAATAGCAAAAACCAACATAACACCAAATAAAATAAAACTGAAGAGAGTGATGTCATAATATCCTTATCCCCCGGTAACGACTTATTAGCACAAACACGCTACAGTATCCACATTAGGTGCATCCACTCTTGGGCACCCGAATTTCGGTATTCACATTTGGGTATTCACTTTTGGGTATCCACTTTTGGGTACCATATATATAAATACACATTTATATATATGTATATGTTTTGAAAAGCTGAGGAATTTGAGTTGTTTTGGTGTATCTACTTTTTGGGTATCCACTTTTCGGTATCCACATTTATATATATATATGTTGTGGTCAAAATTCAAATACAGTCAAATTCTAAATTTGCCGGGCAAAATTCAAACTAGACGTTTGCCCAATATAATCTCCGTCAAAATTCGAATTCGAATTTAGTCCAGGCAGAATTTAAATTAGAATTCTTTCCAACAAAAACCCAGTCAAAATTCTAATTTCGATTTTTACTCAAAAAAATTCTAATTTCAATTTTCAGGGTGTGGGTGTGGGTGTGGGTTTGGATGTGAATCTCTAGATCAACACCGGCGCCCGCACTAGAGCGTGGGTGAGGGTGTTGATACTGTGTCCAACCGCATCCGCCACCCACTCCCACACTCACACCCGCACCCACACCCACGCCCACACCCACACCCACACCTACACCCGCACCCACACCCACACCCACACCCACACTTCGCTGAGACTAGCAGAATGGCTTGTCTTTTCGTTAAGAGATAGGTTGATATGTTTTTGAATTGATTTAAGCACACCCACACCCTCAAGAAACTATTGTACTTTGAAAAATAGCGAATGATAGTGATAATGATAAAGATGTTTATATATTCTTTCTTTTCCATTTCTCCTTAAACCGTATGACTTTTTGGGGGTGATCCATTTGTGCTGAAAATGTGAACATTTCCCGATCGATTGGTTTCATCGTCCACTGCTGCGAATAAAAGTAAGCAAAACATCGTAGAGAGCTTACCTGATTATTTAACTAATCAACAAATACTTATCACCAAGTGAACGCTCATTCTTCTTTTTTTTTTCATTTTTCATTTTTCATTTTTCATTTTTCATTTTTCATTTTTCATTGCTCATTATCATTTTTCTTTTTATTCATACTTTGTTCCATCGTTCAAGTTCTTGCGAAATTCTCAAATAAGTTGTTATAGTTTTTTGGTTAGTTTTTATATGCTTATTTGTAATGCAGAGCCCTGAAGAGTGTTTCATTATTAAAATAAATAACACGAAAGACGTCGGCGAAATGAAAATCTCCATTCATTTTAGTTTAATTTTACATTTTCAGCTCAATTTTATTTAGAAATTATTCAATCTTTAATTTATTTTCGACTTTGATCGATTGCTGAAAAGCAAGAGTTGAGATTAGCAGATTGATTTGTCTTTTCGTTAAGAGTTAGATTGATCTGTTTCCAATTGAGTTTCATTCAGGGATTGATCCAGAAACGTTCTATCGATTCGATAATGACTACATTAGGTCGGTACTGTAAAATTGTACTTTTGTCAAATTTGTATCTAGCATTCGAATAACCATAAACGTATTTTACTTCATTAAAATGTCGCCAAAAATAATCTTTGAAGAAGAAGTCCGAGAAAGAGTCACCGAAAATGAGTATTTTGTCTTTTTTCGGGCTCATCCTATTGGCAGTAATATTTTTTTTGGAAACGAGTTGATGTTCTAAAATATGAGACACATCTAAATTAGCCATTCCAGCTAGATCTCCTGCTCGCTTGAGATTTGTATCAAGAACGAAGTCTTCCAAGTTATGAGGTACAAATTGAGGATAGACAATGAGCAGTCGTTTCACTATTTCCTTATAAGCATAAAATGCTCCGATATTGTTCCAATGAGAGTCAGTTTTAAAGTATGTGTCAAATTGATTTAATTTCTTTGCTGTCAAAAGTGGTTGTCTTACATCGACTAGCTGAACCTTGGAATGCAATTTCATATGCTCAAAAATCTGTGCCAGTCTACTAGGTCCAATAGCATCGGCATATGGCCATGGCAAATATTCTGGATATATTGAATTCTTATCAAAACACGGAAGAATAAGAAAAGTCATGTTTTGTTTAGTAAACCATGCAGATTCAGCTTCCAGATTCATTTGAATAGCCAATAATTCATCAGAAGAATAAGGATTATATCCTTGCCAGCCAGAAAGTGTCCTAGGGTCCATCTGTTCAAAACTATTATAAAACAGCCAACCATTTTTTCCTATAATGATGTGTTTTACAGGTGATATTCCAAACAAATTGACATGCAGACGAGTGTTTGCTGCCACAAATCGAAGGCGCAATCCAAAATGATCATTATAGAACAAATCAAATTTTTTGATAAAATCGCCAATCTTTCGTATGTCGAAATTGGGCGAGGAGCTAATGTTCGTTTCTCCGTTGAGGGAATATCAGGAACAATTAGAAGTTGCCTGTTTATTTCTGAGAGTATGATAAACGATAGAAAAAGAATGATGATTATCCAGTTGAATAATATTTGTCCACGTTGAACCAGTGGCTCCATAATACAGTAGTGGACAAAATTATAAGAACAAATATTTTTACTTTGTATTTATAAGTTTTTTCTCCCCTTTCTCCGATTGAATCGATCTACCAATCAATGCATATACACTGAAGTATGCTCTAACTGAATATCGATTTACAGTCCTTTCAAATGTATTTACTTTCCTTAAAAAACATCGAACAAAAAAAAACAGGATTTTTTTTGGCCAAAATTATAAGAACAGAGAAATGTTTTATACAACTCTTGGCACAGAACGGACGAGGGTCAAGAGAATGAGAGTGGTAGATCACGTGGGTATATTTTTCTTCTCTTTTAATTATTATACTTGTTGCTTGCGTATACCATTGATAAATTGAACGTAATTTCTCTGCCACTAAATAAATGGGTAGAAAAAAAGTTACAACTTATCAAAAGTTGAAGGTCCTAACGCTTTTACAAGCTGGTTTTTCATATGAAAATATTCGAAATCAGCTTGGTGTTTCAAATGGTTGTATCAGCAACATCTCAAAAAAAGACAAATTAAAACTACCATTAGAAAATCGTCCAGGGCAAGGTCGAAAAAAGTTGACAACTTTTAAAGAAGATCGTTATTTATTAAATTTAATGAAGAAGGATCGTCGAAAAAGTAGTCGACAATTAGCATCTGACTGGAATTCATCACATGAAAAATCAATTAGTGCACGAACGGTGCGTCGACGCTTATTTAAAGCTGGTTATAAAAGTTATACGACCAAACGGAAACCGTACCGAAAACCTTGCCATTGCTCTGCTTGATTAAAATTTGCTAAACAATATTCCGACTGGAGTTTTGGCGACTGGAAAACTGTTATTTTTTCTGATGAATCTCATTTCGAAGTTTTCAATCGAAAAAAGAAGTCTTTTGTACGTCGTCTTTCATCAGAATCTGATAAACCATTTAATTTTCAACCACGTATTCAAGGTGGTGGCGGATCAATTAGTGTTCGGGGAATTATGACAGCCAAAGGAGGTGGTCCTCTTGTCTTTTATGATGGTCGTATGAATGGTCCAACCTACATTAGTATTATTGAACTCGTTTTATTACCATTTATTGAAAAAAATTTCGATCGAGATGTTACCTGTTATTAGGTACAAGATAATGCGCCATGCCATAAATCAGCTTTTAGTATGAAATGGTTAAAGAAAAACAAAATTAATCTTTTAGATTGGCCAGCCGTATCACCGGATTTTAATGTTATCGAAAACTTATGGGATATAATTGACAATAAACTCAACAACTATCGACTGAACAATGTTAATGATCTTCAACAAGCTATTCTGGAAATATGGACACAAATATCAAATGAAACATGCGAAACTTTAGTTCGATCAATGCCACGGCGCATTAAAAAATGTTTTTGTGTAAAAGGAAATACTTCAGCAAAATACTGACTCGATTTTCTGAAAAACGTTGTATAAAACATTTCTCTGTTCTTATAATTTTGGCCAAAAAAAATCATGTTTTTTTTGTTCGATGTCTTTTAAGGAAAGTAAACACATTTGAAAAGACTGTAAATCGATATTCAGTTAGAGCATACTTCAGTGTATATGCATTGATTGGTAGATCGATTCAATCAGAGAAAGGGGAGAAAAAAACTTATAAATACAAAGTAAAAAAATTTGTTCTTATAATTTTGTCCACTACTGTATTGATATTCAGAAGTTTTAGGTATCTCTTAAAATCTAAAATAAATAAATGGATTATAGTGTCCACTTGCAATAGCCATAATAGAGAGTAGAAAAATGCTTACAAATACGACTATCCAGAACAAGGTCAGAACTAATTGCGCAAGCATTTGAGCGTGCTTGTTTAAAATACGACTGGGAACATCTTTCAGGAGACGAATCAATGTAGAAAGAATACCAGATGACCCTAATATAGCAAAACCTATTACTATAACAACTTTTTTGTCCAGATATTGCTGTATCGGAATATTCTTGCGATTGTGGTGTAACTGTAATCCGAGTAGAGTTTTAGTAAAGCCAATAGAATGCTTTAGAGTAGATGACCGGAAAAACACCCATCCGAATGATATTATAGTCTGTGTATAAAAATGTTGGAAAGCTCTCGGCAATATTTTTAGTACATATGTGAATAGTATAGTGCGTTCTAATACTAAGAATGCTCCATGGAATAGACCCCAAATGATAAAATTCCAACTGGCACCGTGCCACAGACCACAGAGCAAAAAAACAGTCAGGAGATTAAAATAGACTCGGCATTCAGAGACGCGATTACCACCAAGTGAAATATATAGGTAATCACCAAACCAATTTGAAAGTGAAATATGCCATCGTCTCCAAAATTCTCTGATTGATCGAGATACATATGGATAGTTGAAATTCTCAAGAAATCGAATGCCAAACATACTAGCAAGACCAATTGCCATGTCAGAATAACCTGTGAAATCAAAATAAATTTGAAGTGAATATGCCAACAAGCCAAACCATGCATGAGAAGCGTCAATATTTTCAAGTGGCAAGGTAAAGATTTTGTCTGCCACGACAGCGATTGTATTCGCTATAAGCATCTTTTTTGAGAGGCAAACTGTGAATCTTACTATGCCGTTTGCAAACTCTCTATGATTGAATTTACGATGTGCGATGAGTTGTTGTGCAACATCATGATAGCGCACAATGGGACCAGCTATTAGTTGAGGGAAGAATGAAAAGTATAATCCAATGGTCGTTAGATTCCGCTCCTCTTGAACTTCTTTTCGGTACACATCAATGATATAAGAGAGTCCGTGGAAAGTAAAAAACGAGATGCCCAGTGGTAAATGGACTTCAGGAGCCTTTGTAATAGGTCTTAAAGTTTGTAAGGTAAGTATATTCAAAATTTCCAGCAGAAAATTTGTATATTTGAAAAATAACAGCAGGATTAAATTACTGGAAACCGAAACAAGGAGGAGCCAACGAACTTTTGATTCATCCATTTTAGCCCGTAAATAGACCATTCCAAGTCCGGTCAAGTAATTCATACATATTGATACAAGCATGACAATGGTGTACGACCTTTCATCCCAGAAATAAAAAAATAAGCTAACCAAACACAGCCAGACATTCTGGAGTTTAGGTGAAATGACGAAATTTATACAAAGAACAATAGGTAAAAATAAAAACAGGAACACAGGCGATGTAAACAGCATTGCAACAATGAAAATTCAATGAGCATTTATTGTCTTTAAATGCGCCATGAAGCTTTGTTCACAGCTGATATACGTCGCAGTTCGTTTTTCCAAGGTAATTTTTTCATAATTACTATGCATGAGATAAACTGTCTAAATAAATAAGAATAAATACCAGTATCCTGAGGAAATTACTTTTCTAAATATTCGTTAGCACAAACAAATGTGTATACCGAATCGGCATACATCAAAACTAAACCCATACCAAAACAAAACTATACAACCGAAATCCGCAACCAAAAGTTCAAAACCAGTTTTATCTTGGTACATGCCTACACAGTAAAAAATGTTAGATTATGATCTGATATAATCTGAATTTTTTTCACTGGGTAACGCTGATGCATACATCACTCACAATGGGCTACTTGAAAGTGTGGTATAGCCCATATCCTGCGTGTGAACCTTTCTGGAAAAGGCACCGAAATTCACACAGACACATTCTGAAAACAAAAATGAGTTTTACAGAACTTTTTTGTGGTTCTGCTATCTGGCAAAGCGCAGAAGCAACACATGGTTCTGACTAAAATCAGGTTTGCTGGAGAAAATCGCATCACCATTTCAAATTCATCGTGCAAAATAGCTTTGCCCGGCGCTTCACCTCTCACACCATTTATAGTATATTTTTACACCAGAACAGAAGCTTTTCCATAAAAATCCCAGCACCTTTTTAATTAACGTTATTAATTAATATTAATTATTTTTCATAATTTTAAAAGAGCATAATTTATAATTGGTCAAGTTTTACCTCAACACAAGGTCACAAAAACAATAATGATGTGCTGAGACACAATACAAGGGTGTGGGTGTGGGTGGGTGGGTGGGTGGGTGGGTGTGAATAAGACTAAATCCCACATATGCACCACACCCACACCCCTCAGTCATGAATTTGCTGATACTGTAGCATTATGTGTTCTTTGACCGTACGAAGACGTCCACTACTATTCATCAAACTATATCATAAGTGCTCCTCTCTATCCACCCTAATTTTGCTAACCCAGTTTGTGATGATTCGAACGCTTACTACTTAGGACCTGTTATACGTAATTAACTAATCATACCGAAACTAGCTAATTCATCAATTAAAATATATGTGGAAGGAATTCAATTGTGTAGCTTTAACACCTAAATATTGCTTTCCGTTCAAATTCGACAAAGCACCTGTGTAACACTCTGTGATGGATAAATCGCCTTGGTGTAATGATGTGCTATGGGGAAAATTTACCCATCACAGACCGTTACCGACAGATGACTACCTGTCGGTAATG